AGTGACCATTTTGTAATAAAGAAACAGCAGGCTTGTGGAATATGAGTCCTACAGTAGTAGGTTGCAGCGTGAGAGTTTCAGCTTCTAATTTTTAAATATGAAAGGATTACAGAAGTTTGTGCTTTTTTCTTTTCCATATCCCTGTTCGAAAGTGAAAGGGCACCCTCTTGACTTCGGGATTTGTCAGAAGCAAAAGACTTAACATTAAATTTGTATTGAGTATTATTTGATTTGTGTTGATACCTATGTTTGTTTAAATTACTTGTCTCTTATTATTAACAGCTGGTATATTAACAGCTGGTAATTGAAAATGGGTTTTCCATGCCTTTATTTTAGCTAAAATACTAATGCTGCAACACTGGACATATAAATGTTCACCTCCTTTTACCCAATGGATTGAAGACCTTACAACTCTTATCAGCATTTGCAAGTGTTTGGCATATAGACAATAATTCTCTATAGATGTGTTTTATAGAAATCTTTCACAGAAATGTAGGTGTGCATTGTTTATCATTCTTATTGTACTTTTTAATTGTCTGGGGTGGGCTTCTAGAAGGTCTGGGATGACCAGCTAAAGACGATTGCTTGGTAGGTATCTGTGAAAATTAGTATTTCATACATAGTGTTGAATGGAACTATGCAGGTAGAATTGGATGTTGCCTTCTTTTAACTTCATGGTTGTAAACAACAAAGGGATGGCAGACTGTCATTGCATGGGTGACCCAAATCCCATTGGCTTGTTTTTATCCCTTTTCCCAAAATGCAGCCCGTATACTTCTAATCACTATGTCTTCATTGTACTTGTATTTATGAATTGCCCTCTACTGGGTTCACTTTCACTTTACAGTAACTCAATGGAATTTCCAGACAGTTGGTTTTCCAAATGTCTGGTACATTAAATTACCATGACTGACTCCCACAAACCACAAGGGGATTGTGTCAACCATTTTTATTGATGAGGTAGCCTTTCCTCTTGTCCTGGATTTAGGACTACAGTTGTGGCATAAGGTTACCAGCTACAGAAACTCTGACTTTAATTTGTATGTAGTGGACCTTACCGGTATTTGTCATGTCGGTTATATTGCCCATGCATACTATTCGTTTGTTGACAGGAGTCAACTTGTGTGAGTGTCAACTCAAAGATTAATTGCTGAATTAATTTGTGCTTTTATATCAAATTAAATACAATATTTTCCGATGAATCATTTGTTATATTTTGCGGCAATGGATCAGCGACCAGTTCTAATTAAATGTAGAGAGATATCAATCAGTGTCCATGTGTGACCTGACAGACATGTTTGTGGGGGACTTTGTGTAGTTGTTTAGTCGTTAAGTCGCATCTGACTCTTCGTGACATGTCGGTTATATTGCCCATGCATACTATTCATTTGTTGACAGGAGTCAACTTGTGTGAGTGTCAACTCAAAGATTAATTGCTGGATTAATTTTATATCAAATTAAATACAATATTTTCTGATGAATCATTTGTTATATTTTGCAGCAATGGATCAGCGATCAGTTCTAATTAAATGTAGAGAGATATCAAGCAGTGTCCATGTGTGACCTGACAGACATGTTTGTAGGGGACTTTGTGTAGTTGTTTAGTCGTTAAGTCGCATCTGACTCTTCGTGACCCCATGGACCAGAGCACGCCAGGCCCTCCACTGCCTCCCCGAGTTTGGTCAAATTCATGTTAGTAGTTTCGATGACACTGTCCAACCATCTCATCCTCTGTCATCCCCTTCTCCTCTTGCCTGCACACTTTCCCAAAATCAGGGTCTTTTCCAAGGAGTCTTCTCTTCTCTTCAAATGGCCAAAGTATTGGAGCCTCAGCTTCAGGATCTGTCCTTCCAGTGAGCACTCAGGGTTGATTTCCTTCAGAACGGATAGGTTTGTTCTCCTTGCAGTCCAGGGGGACAGGGGAAGTTGAAATTAAAGTATTACTCTCTGAGAGTGATCCTTTGCTTTGTAGTATCATTGTTTATAATACTGTATAGTATAGTTGCATCAGGATTTTTATTTAACCCCATTTCCAACATAGAATCTACCTTTAATTTACCACTGTAATTGTCACATTTTTCTTCTCATACAATATCAATAATAAAATATCTGGTAGAATCTAAATTTTTGGGGAGGGACGTGGTGGCGCTGTGGGCTAAACCGCAGAAGCCTGTGCTGCAGGGTCAGAAGACCATGCAGTCGTAAGATCGAATCCACGCGACAGAGTGAGCTCTCGTCGCTTGTCCCAGCTCCCGCCAACCTAGCGGTTCGAAAGCATGCAAATGTGAGTAGATAAATAGGGACCACCTCTGTGGGAAG